TGTTCAAATAAAAGCCCTAGGGTCAAAATTGGCCCCACTCCGTGGAGGTCATTGATTTTCGCTATATGCATATAGTAAAAACTTAAAAAATCTTCTTTTAAAGAACTCAAAGAGCTATGGCTAAGATATTTAGCATCAAACATGTTTAAATAGGTGTCTACCAAGTTTGTTCAAATAAAAGCCCTGGGGTCAAAATTGGCCCCACTCCGTGGAGGTCATTGATTTTCCCTATATGCATATAGTAAAAACTTAAAAAATCTTCTTTTAAAGAACTCAAAGAGCTATGGCTAAGATATTTAGCATCAAACATGTTCAAATAAGTGTCTACCAAGTTTGTTCAAATAAAAGCCCTGGGGTCAAAATTGGCCCCACTCCGTGGAGGTCATTGATTTTCCCTATATGCATATAGTAAAAACTTAAAAAATCTTCTTTTCAAGAACTCAAAGAGCTATGGCTAAGATATTTAGCATCAAACATGTTCAAATAGGTGTCTACCAAGTTTGTTCAAATAAAAGCCCTGGGGTCAAAATTGGCACCGCCCCGGGGGTCATTGATTTTCCTTATATCAGGGCTGCCGATTTTCCGCGGATCCGCGGAAATCCGCAGATTACTTGAGCTCCTGGGTCATTTTTGAGATTGATGTAAATTCGACAAAGACAATAAATTCATGCGTCATATTTTATACAGTACCCAAAAACCGGCACGCTTCGGCTTTTATCGTTAAGCTAGCCGCCTATGGTACGTCTGTAAGCGCTTTTCTCATTGGTCATATCGAGTCTTTTCCGGCATTCTATTTTAGAATAACCAATCAAATTACAATTTACATTGTCGCTCTTGTCTGTTGTCAAAATGCGTCAAAATGTCAGATATTTGTCAAATTTAGAGTCCAGGAAATTGATTTTAGGGCATACCAAATCATCAGAATCCAGGAGCCCCCTTGACCCCCCGCGTATTTTCCGCTGATTTTGCAATTTGCTGTTGGCAGCCCTGTTATATGTGTATAGCAAAAACTTAAAAATCTTCTTTGAAAAAACCCAAATAGCTAGAGTTAAGATATTAAGCATGAAACATCTTTAGTGAGTGTCTACAAAGTTTGTTCAAATAAAAGACCTGGGGTCAAAATTGGCCCCGCCCCCGGGGTCATTGATTTTCTTTATATGTGTATAGCAAAACCTTAAAATCTTCTTTGAAAAAACCCAAATAGCTAGAGTTTAGATATTAAGCATGAAACATCTTCTAGTAAGTGTCTACAAAGTTTGTTCAAATAAAAGCCCTGGGGTCAAAACTCTGGGGTCAAAACTGGGCCGACCCCAGGGGTGTCATTGTTTTTAACTATATGTGTATAGTAAAAACTTTTAAAAAAATCTTCTTTTAAAAAGCCCAATGAGCTAGAGCTTAGATGTTTAGCATGAAACATCTTCTTATGGGTGTCTACCAAGTTTGTGCAAATAAAAGCCCTTGGGTTAAATTGGCCCTGCAACGTTGGGGGAGGTGGGGGTTGGGGGGGCCTATATACAGGTGAGCGACCTCAGGGCCATCATGGCCCTCTTGTTTATATTTATACCCCCGCACAACAAAGTTGTAAGGGGGGTATACTCAGCTTGTCCGTCCGGCTGTCCGGCCGTCCATCGGTTTTTTCTTGTCCGACCAATAACTAAAGATTCCTTTGACCCACAATCTTCATATTTGGCATGGAGGTTAGTCATGATTGGTAGATGATCCCTATCGATTTTGAGGTCACCAGGTCAAAGGTCAAGGTCACAGGGGCCTTGACATCAAAAAGCTTGTCCGCCCAATAACTTAAATTCCTTTGACCCACAGTCTTCATATTTGGCATGGAGGTTTGTCATGATTAGTAGATGACCCCTATTGATTTTGAGGTCACCAGGTCAAAGGTCAAGGTCACAGGAGCCTTGACTTCAAAAACCTTGTCCGCCCAATAACTTAAGATTTCTTTGATCCACAGTCTTCATATTTGGCATGGAGGTTAGTCATGATTAGTAGATGACCCCTATTGATTTTGAGGTCACCAAGTCAAAGGTCAAGGTCACAGGGGCCTTGACTTCCAAAAGCTTGTCCGCCCAATAACTTAAGATTCCTTTGACCCACAGTCTTCATATTTGGCATGGAGGTTAGTCATGTTTAGTAGATGACCCCTATTGATTTTGAGGTCACAGGGTCAAAGTTCAAGGTCACAGGGACCTTGTCAAAAAGCTTTTCCCCTCAATTGCTTCAGAGTGCCTGTCCAGAGTGTATTGATTTTGACATTTTCACATTTGAAGCATGTAGAAGTAGAATACATAACTTAGCAATGCACTGGCTTAGTTACCTCAGATTTGGCAGGGAGGTTGTCCTTGAGTTCTTAATGGCCACTGTCGATTCTGACAAAGTGGTATGCGGGGGTGTTCACGCCATGACAGTGGCAGTTCTAGTTTTTTTTAACTTAGAATTTTATTTTTTGTACTCATTTTACATTACAAAAGAAAAATACTTGAAACTTAAAATAATTAACCCTTATTAATACCAACATAACACATGACAAAATTTGTAACCTTGGCAACTATATTTCAAGAATAATGTCGGCTTTAATGTTGCAATTTCATTAGAAAATTATTCATGTCTTATTAGGTCTTCTGTATTATTCAGCAGCTGTTGTTGTTAAAATTTCTCTCAACATGCATGTACATACATGTATGATTATAAGAATATAAAAACAATGTTTGATAGCTCAGTTTTTAAAATTTTCAAGTTTATTTTTAGAAATCTTATATTTACATCCTTTTAACATTTATAATTTTAAATGAACAGAAATTTTCTATAAATCACATATTCACGATAAAGGAATATTAAAAATATTATTTTTACACATTTAAGATTTATTTCATTTATGTAGATCTTTTTTTTGAAATCAACTAAAAAAATTGTGTTTATGTCTTATAATACAAATATTCAAACTGTGCCTTAATTAGCTCTATAGTAAAATAAATCTCTTGCAAACATTATTGGTTAAACCGTAAATATTTTAAAAAGTGAAATGAATATAGATACTATCAAATGTACAAACCCATGAATGATTACATTGTTTTTGAATATTTGATTTTAAAGTTTAAAATCGGCAGAATAGATAATGTGTCAATGGCATTTTTATTGACTATTTGTGTGTATCGGGTGACGAATGATTATTGGGGGACCAATGATTGTACAGTGAAATTGTATCAAAATATGTGATAAGTAATTCAAGTACCTGTAATTTTGTTCAGTAATTTTGAATGCTTAAATGGTAAAAACCCATTGATTGTATTCTTTTCTTTATCATGTTCAAAGTGATAAGAAATTTTTGTATATACATATTGGTTTGGTCAATGAACTTTATAGCTCATTGTAAATTAATGAACTTGAAGGATTTTTCATGACTGCTTTGTTAGTTAAAGGAACTTGAAACATAACTCATTTATGTCACTTGCTTTATATATCTTTGATTTATATTGATTATTATTTGGTTTCGAGATGATCTGGAATTGTGAATTGGTTTTTATATGGTCTTTTAATGAATACTTGTCAGAAAATATTGTAAAGTTCTTTGTAAAAATTGAAGGATTTCTTTTATTTTGCTAGTCACAGTCATACAAATGCACTGTATTTTTTTTTACTGTGAGCTGTATCATATTATACTTTGGTTTAAACATATTTATTTTAGTTCGATTGCGAAACAAGTTCTTGCAACTTATATTAATCAATTTCGAGTCCTTTTCCTGGAACCAACCAGTACTGGTGTCATATGAAGAAATATGGTTGTTACCCAAGTAGGACTCAAACCCATGATCTCTGGGTTGAGAGGCCGACACCCTAACCACTAGGCCACTGCTCCCCTTACACTTTGTACTTTGATGTGAATAATAGTCTTTAAAAAGTTAAGTTTGAGTTAATTATTATGTCCAACAACTAAAGATTAATCATTCAGACTTTGAAATACTTGGGGTTGTTAAGCTGTCCTATTTTCACTCATTTGACATTTACAGTATATATAAAAGTGCAAATATTTCTTTAAGATTAAAAAAAATAATCAAGGAAACCTTATTCTGACAAGACAAAAAGAAGAGAAAAAAGTATTTAAAAAACACCAAATGTGTGCTTGCACTCCTAGCAGAGTTTGAACCAACGCCTTGTAAATCCTTTTCAAAGGAACAAAAAAGGTTTTGAATTAAGCACCTGATGCCTAAATTGCAAAGAGTTTTTATTTCTAATACATGTACAATATTTCTAATTTTTAAACAGCTATTACAAACAATCTTTGAAGAGTAGTGAGCTGTAACTTGTGGGACAAACTAGTGCATTCTGGTACAGAATCTAATATACAGTTATTTCATATGTGATTTGGGAACAGTCAAATTGTTGGCCCGAGGTGAAGGGGGTAGTGTTTTGAACTGTTGCCCAAGGCCGTAGGCCGAGGGCAACAGTTCAAAACACTATCCCCGACAACGAGGGACAACTGTTTGACTGTTCCGAAATCACGCATGAAATAACTGTTTTATTACCTGATCAACTTCTGTTTTAACAGTATTTGCAGAAGAAAAAAAGAACAAGAAAATAGTGTTGCACATATGTCAATAATTAAACTTAATATTTTTATTTTATTTGTCACGTCACGTCTGGTTCATGATCAAGATCAATGGATGCTTCAAGTGGGAATCCTCTATGACGTCAATGACGTCAGAGCACGAGAGGGAAACAGTCGAAACTATTGACCGGTCAACAGTTCGCGAACTTTGGCGTTTTTAGAATTTCAGAAAACAGATAATAATAACAAATTACATTTATATAAGGTATCAGGTAATAATATGTTTTGGTTACTGGTTGCTGGAATATTTCAGTGAAACAGTCTATGAACATATTAGTAAGTAAGTAATGACTTTATTTAATGAGGCAAGACAGTTGGGCACACCCAGTCTTCCCAGTAAACATACACACAAATGATGATATATGTGTGACTTTTGTTTTAGGGATTGTTTCCAAGTATACGTAACCCACAAATTCCGAGCTGCTATTGGTAAGACGAAGCTGGTGCGAGACGGAGAACATGTTCTGGTTGCTTACTCAGGTGGACCGTCATCAAGTGCCTTGCTATGTCTTATACAGGAGGTAATATAAAATTAAGCCTGAATTTTAATCTGTAACAACTGATTACATTTATGAACCCAGTTCTTTTTCAAATTACATCCAAGGTATGAAAATTAACTTAATTAACCCCTAGAGTACTAAATGAGATAACAAGTTGCACATCAGTGTGTCCTTTGAAGTTGTTAAGTCTATATTAGGTTAATTTAAGAGGTTTCAGTATAAACATCAGGATAAAGTGTGATCTTCAGAAGCATTAAAATCAGCAAATTACATGAAAATTGCAGACTCGGTTTAATTGAGTTTGTTCAATCATGAGGAATAATGAAAAAGTGCAACATCCTTCATCTCTCCTAGCACTGGCTTGAGCAAACTCAGTTTTTCAACAAAAGTTCTGGAATCATTGATCCGAAAGGACCAGAAAAAATATAACAACAATAAAGATACACTATTTTTGAATTAAGCATCCAACTGTATAGAATCTGGCAAGACTAAGCAGGCTATTAATATGCTCAGGATGATGTGGCTGTTGTTCGGTTTAATAGAGTCAAGAACATTCTTTCTTACTACAAAAACTGTATACTGATGTTTTTATATTAATAACAGGGCCTCAGTCAGAGGGCACACAAGAAGCTGAGATTTCGACCTGGAGTTCTGTTTATAGATGGTAAGAACAAGTTTGTAAGAACATTTGTTTTCAGAGATGTTTTGTTACATTTTGTACATTGTATTTTATGAGAGTATGAAATTTTTTATACAATTTGTTTTATTGAGAATAACCTAATTACAATAGCGGCAATTTTATTCTTTCACATATCCTCAATTAAGAAATATAGACTCGAAGTTTTGGTTTAGTTTGAACATCAGTCCTATATGGACATCTATCCATTTAACTGTCCTTGAGGTTATACAATCATAATGATTTTTTTAGCTCTGTCTCAAACTTCAGGGTTTTCGTTGGTCTGTGTACAATCTGTGAAGTTTCTGACCAATCAAGTACCTGAAATCTGAGTCGACCTTAGAAAATTTACTGTTAACAAGATTTTTTGGTAGCCAGTCAGGTGGTTTAGAAGTCAGCAGTTTCTTGATTTTACCAGATAGATAATGAAGGGCTGGAGAGTTTGTCTTCCTCACTAAAGGTTGTGATATTTGCCTTATGATATTTCAAATGTCAGTGAAATTGTAAACCAAACAAAATTAATTTAGACACTTATCAAGTTATCAAGTCTCCCCACTGCCCCCTCCCCCTCTCCCCCCCCCCCCTAAAAAAAAGCCAAGAAAAAGCAAAGTGAATATTGAAGTTGTACATTTGTACATTGCAGAGGGAGCCACTATAGGACTGACTGGTGAGGAGAGATTGGCGATTTGTGAGAAAATTCATTCAATTATGAAGAATACTGGTTTCACCTGTTATATCAAATCTCTAGAAGAGGTATGTATGGTATGATCCTATTTTACAGTTCCTGCATTACCTTTCCTTACAAGGGCACTTTTTGGTTTCAGTATGTAAGAATTAAGGTAATTGTCTGAGTGATTTATCTTTGTATATAACTGTTTGTCAATTATCAAATATTACTGATGGCTGTTGATTTTGATATATTGATTATACACACTGATTCCTGCCTTTAAAAATAAGAAATCAGAATTTTCAGTCTTATTTCTGATATATCGTTCTACTGCAATTCAGATTATTTTTAGCATATTTCTGTCTTTTAATTGAAATAGTAGACTGAAAGCCATATTTAAGTGTTTATTTAGAGATAAAATGTTATAATAATATATATCTTTAATTTAAACTTGTAATATTATTATTGTTTTTAAAGGGATTTACATTAACACCAGACAATGAGGAGAAGACTTCAGACAGTTCAACCACAGTTAATCCATGTAATGGTTCCAGTCCAGCATTCAGGTACCGTAATTTATCAGACTGTGTCTACTTTTGTGGTTTTTTTCATGCTATTGTTAAACTTTAAAATTTGGTAACCAGTCAAGTATCAAGATAAGTCTTTTGTGCTCTGGAAATATCAAACTAATTTTTTTTTCAACTGCAAGATGTTTATTAATTTATATTTTTACAGAAAGACATACTGTATTTTATATTGTATATATATATTGTATCTTTTGTACTTCAGTCATACTTAAGATTTTATGCAAAAGCTAAGATTTGTTTCTCCTTACTATTGTTGGATATGGCTTCCATTGAAAGCAAAATATCAAGGATATATTATATCAAATATATATAACAGTGGATGCCATTAAACTTTGAAAATTTGAATAATTGATATAAACTATCATCAAAGTGTTATGCATGCTTGTTTTTTATTTCACAAGTAAACATTCTAAAAGAAAGAAGGTTTTCTTACTATTTCTCATTGACTTTGAAAAATTAAAGTTAGGGTACAAACTAGTGATGCAAAAGGAGAATTGACTTCTCTCTAGAGGCAAAATAGAGAGATAGTTTCAAAATACAGTAACCTGAAATGGGTTTAAAATTGTATCTCTATTCCAAATTAAGAATCTTTAGTGAATTAAATATTGAAAATTATGTGATTTATTGAAATCGCAATTTTTCAATGTCAACCTTGTTGTTTAGGGTAACACTGGGGCTTATCTCTTGGTAACCAAAGTAACACTATAGGGAGAAAGGATAGGTAACCAGTAAATAATGTTGATTTTATTGTATTAAGGGATGGTGAAAGTATAGAGACAGAAGAGGTACAATGGAAATATGAGATAAATCAAGATTTGGAGCGTAGACTGAAGGAAACCCTTAATAATATGAAGTCTGTGTCAGCAAAAGAAGATTTTATACGCTCACTCAGGTATACATTGTTGTTTTAGTTTATATAGAATATATATCAGTATGATTGTGAAGGACTAAGAAATGTGAGTAAAGTTCCATGCTCAAGGAAAAAAATGACTCATGACAGGGTTTGAACCTATGCAGATAGCAATCCTTAGATTACTAGTCTCTTGCGCAAACAACTCGACCACAAGGCTACTTGCTGTTTTATAAAAGGTTATTAAGACAGGTTGGGTGCAAAACTGTGGTAACTGATGTGACCAATGAGTAGGAGAGTTATACACAACATTATGCTTTGAATTTTTTTGCAAGGAATGAGAAGGACCTACATGTATTTAAAAAAAGATATTTCTTATATTTGAAATTCGTAGCAAATATTTATGGTGTTGGCCTGAATAGGGCTGGAACCTACAATCCCTGGGATTGAGAGGCAGATACCTTATGCCACTGCTTATGCACACATTATTTTTGTAATTTAGTAAAGAAATAAAGAAAAAACAAACAAACAAACTTTCTTACCTTTCATTTACAGGAATATGATATTGCTAGATGTAGCAAGGAATTGTGGGTATTCCAAGGTGATGTTAGGAAGCTGTGGTACCCAGCTTGCTGTGAGGTTACTTACAGATATCTCTACAGGAAGAGGGGCACATGCTGCTATGGTAGCGGTAAGTTAGCAACAGGCTGGTGATATAAGAGGGAAACAATTCTTAATTTTTTATATCTGGCTGAAGACAGCCCCTCACCACTGTTGGTTTCAGTCCAGCCAGGAACTTTGGCTATTTTTATGTGAGGAAGGGATATTTTTATGTGATGAAGCTATCCAGGTAGGTTATGGAACATTAGTGGCTGTACTTAGGTGTCTCCTCATGCCTGAAATGATGCACACAAGGGCACCTCAGATCTTCCTCCAGCAGTAAATCTGGAAAGTCACTGTATGATCTTTACAGTGTTGGTACAGTTTTAATTACCAATAAACAAATAAACAAAAGCTTGCATAAACATGCAGTTAGACAATAGCGAGTAAATGGACAATTTGATCAAATTTATCATCCCGAAAGATATTTTCAAATATGAATTAAACAGGCAAAATAAAATTTGGCATGTACTGAAAAGTCTTCTACATTTGTTATATCAATTCTGGTATTTGATTTCTCATAAGTTTGCATATACTATATAAATTTTTTTATAACACATAATTAAATGATGTTTACCATAAAAGATGTATACTTTTGTCACATGCATTTTCAGTTCATGTGTCAGTGTTTTCATAGGTTTTTATATACTGAATAAAATTCTGAGATCACATTAATTGTATACAGTGTCTATTCTAGGAGGGGGATTCACTCATATTTTTGAGAAATCCCCCTATTTTTTCAGAGGCAGGGGGAAAATTTTACATAGAGAAAGAAGGAAAAATATCAACAAATGTAAAAAAATTCATTTTTCGATAAAAATCCCCCCTATTTTTCAAATCCTAGAATAGACACTGGTATAAGGCTCGCAACAAAAGTTACAGAACTTCGTCATTTAGCTTTTAACAATTAGTCTATATTTATATTTTCCAGGCATTCGCTGACAGAAGGCATGATGATGTCATGTTTCTCAGGCCCATGAGGTAAATGATTATGACTTTTTGTTTAAAACAATATGCTCACAGTCATTCAAAATATTTAGTATATTAAAAAGCATATGTATTGTACTGAAAAGTAACAATACAAGGACACCTCAAGATAAATACTGAACATTTGCTGGATAATGCTAAGATATTGTATAGAAAATTCTGAAAAATGATATATACAAAATAAATTGCAAATTATATTTAAGTATGGAGATGGGGGCCTTCGCCAAGTGGTTAATGTGGCTAATTTTAAACCAAGGTGGCAGATTTTGAACCACATGTCTCTTACTACATGGAGTTTAAGTTACACAAGAGATGCTTTTGTCCTGATCTACTTGGCATTGGCATCAGCATTGATAAACATTTCTTTAATGTCCATTTCCTCAGAAGCTATTTAAGTTGTTTATTTCAGACTTGGTATATGTTTACTTTCAAAACTTGACTCCATTGCAAATGGGCAGATAATATGAATTTATATAAGTTACTTCCCATTTTTCGATCTTGCTGTAAGTTAACTATCCAGCACTGTGAAAAGTGAAGCTTGCTGTCCTGTGTAAGACAGGTACATTGTATTGTAAATTAGAGAGGTTTCATTATCAAGCAGTCTGTTTTCACTTAACAGAAAGACAGACTGGCCTGGTTTTATACTAGTAGGATAGACAAAGCAGTATTGATGCTAGTTTGTAAGTTTTATATATTCAGTTTAATTTGTTTCAGGGATTTTAGCTCAAAAGAGGCAGCAATTTACAATTCTTTCCACAATGTGGAATCTGTCTTTATTCCATCATTAACAACAAAGGTAAGTTAATTGCCTTTACTGTCTGACTTTGCTTATTTTTGAATTTTGTCAATGCAATAATGTATACAGTTTTTGACAAGGGAGCTAAATACCTGAAACATTTGGGACTCTGCACAGCTGAAATATCATGCTTGTTAACTTTTGTTAAAAATTTTCATGGAAAAAATGTTTAATTCTAGATATCAAATGTTCTTCACTTTCCATTTTTGAAATAATACAGTAGGTTTATCATCAGTCTTCTTATATATTATTTTGAGAATCTATTTCTTTGTATTTTATTGAAGTGCCTTTCCATATTCAAAAACACATGTAATTATTGTCAAGGGCAAATGTTTCCAAATTATGTATCAGTTAGATGTTATTCTTGTTCAAGGGTATGGATATGTGACTTTAAATATCTATGAATATACATGTATGACAAAAAATTTATGGGATTTTAAGATTAATGAATATGTATAAGCATTTAGGTTTATAGATTTTATGGTTATATCATATGACTTTTAGGCTTTTATCCTGTATATGGATATTTTATTTATAAATGTTTTACTGTCAAAATTATTGATTTATTGCAGCTTTTAAGATGTATGAGTATATGGCAGTTTTTAGGATTTATGAATCTATGGCTTTAAAGATATATGGCCTTTGTACTTCAGGCACAGACAGGTGTGAGTATAGAACATTTGACAGAGAGCTTTGTGACAGGTCTGCAGGCAGACTACCCATCTACTGTGAGCAATATAATGAGGTAAATAAATATCTATGAATAGAACTTCCTTTTTTTAGACCTTAAACCTGTTAGAATCCATAAATGATTAGCCTTTGCCACCATTACATAGAGCCTTTGTGTTGTCAGACTAGGCTCAGTATTGTTAGTAGCTTAATTTTTTTGTTTTGTCATTTGAAATCCTTGAAAGTCATATGGACTGTCATTTGCAAAGCAGGGCAACCGCCTCCGTGGTTGAGGGGTTAGAGGCGATGACTTCTAATCTAGTTACCTCTCTGGCGTGGGTTCGATCCCTGGGAGATGCTTTGGTAGTTAAGCACGGAGGAAGGTGGTCTAGTACTGGTGTAACTCTCCAGGAACGATGGTTAGGAAACTACCCGCCTATATGACTGAAATACTGTTGGGGAAAAGGCGTAAAATGAAACAAACAAACAAACAAACATAAAGTTCACAGGTCAAGAATAAGTATATGATTATAATTACTAGCTGCAATAAAACGGGACATAATTATGTTTCCATTACAAAGTTGTGTAGTCCAACCAGGATCTGCACTGTTTGCTACTTAACAATCTCTGTATTTGTTGTCAAATTCCTTTAAAGTGGATTGGTTTACAATGGGCACATTTTCCAGAAATATTACAAATATTGATAAAAACAGGAAAAACGTATCATATAGATGTTCTTATAAAATATTTCTTGAAAAAAAAATGTTTATAGAGTTCTAAATAATTCAGTATAATAATAATAATAATAATAATAATAATAAAGACTTTATTTAAAGAGGCAACATAGTTAGGCAAGCCCAGTCTTCCCTATGAGCCTCTATCAAAAATGTACATTATATACAGTTACAAACAAAGACTTATATAAACAAAAAAGAAACTAAATGTATAACAAGTTATACAACAAAGAAAAGTTGAGTAATTGAAAAAATGCAATAAGAAAATGAATACAAACATTTGAAAGTATGAAATTGTACATTTTATGAGACATACATGTATATATGTGATATTAAAACATAGCTAGATTATTTGGTGCCCACCAGAGAACCACCATTTAAGATAATTTGTTTTGAATGTTTGTAAGTTGGAAGAATTTCTTATGTTTAAAGGGAGGGAGTTCCAAAATTTTGAGCCTGAATATGATAGGGATTTTCTGCAGAATTCAATTCTTGGTTTGGGGACTAAAAGAAGTTTTTGTTCATATGATCTTAATGATTTATTTTCTGTATTTGTAAAAAGATTTTGCATATAATCAGGGAGAAGATTGTTTAGGGACTTGTATACTAAAATGGCCTTTGAACTTTTATACATTGAAATTAATGTTTAGTTCTAGAACAGTATCTGCTATATATATGGCAGATTTAAACATAAATATACAATGTACATGATGACATTATAATATGTATGATTGGAGTGCAGACGGTCATTAGTTTAATGCCCCTGTTTGACAAACCTTTGAAATTAGCATAAATTACTCTCTAGGGCGTCAACAATCTTTGTGTTCAGAATGATATTTATATATTTCAGAACGGGAGAGAAATTAGATTCTAGTGTAGAGAAGAAGGCTGATAAATACTGTACCATGTGTAAGGTGAGATACCATATTTTACCTTCTGCTTTGGTCACAGTCTAAGAATCTCATATTAATCTCTTGAATGTTTGGGCTGCGATATACAGCCAGGTCAGAGTGCAAATCTCTGCAGTTTGACCAGATTCTAATACAATCTGCTATGTTATCTATTATTTAGATATCAAATCCCCCCTGCATACTAACAATGGACAGGTCCAATTTCAAAGCTGGACAAGTTCATTATACTAAATCAGCAGGTTTTGTAATGAGGCTTCATCTTTGAATTCACCTATGAAAAATTAAGTTATTTTGTTATTTTCCAATTCCTTAAGAAAGATGAATGCTCAGTTTCATTTATATACACATGTGGCAAATCTGATTGTCATCTGCACTGTTGTTACTCAGATGTAACTAATTTTAAAATTTTCCCTAAAAATGCTGAATGGTTTTGTTCAGATTTAAAGATGGACGAGTCCATCCTAATGAATGTGTAATGAAATAGACAGGTTTGGCTGTATAAATATTGACTTAATTGACAGTTTGAAATGCTATTCAAATAAACAAGAATTGCTATATCAGTCTTAGTTGACAAATTAAAGTGTAATCAAGTTTTACCATACTATTCTTGACAAATTAAAATGTGATCAAATAAACAGGTTTCACTGTATTATTCTTTACTTAATGACATATTAATGTGTGATCCAATAAATTTCTTTCATGATGAAATAAACGTCTTCCACATGTTTCTTCTGTATAAGAAATTAAAAAAAGTTTCTGCATAATTTATGAGACAGATTTTAGCTTAATATAAGATAATTGTTTCAACATGAAACAGCCTGTAGTGCTTTTATTATACCTGAAATTAAGTTTATTCTGATAATGGGTAAGCCATGCCAGTATGATGCAATTGTGATAATGGTGAAGTGATGAATATCTATTTTTAGAAACTGTGAAATATTTTTATTACTATGTTGGCATTTATTTCAAAGGGTAGGAATTTTGTTTGTGCATTTATGCATTTTGCTGAATTCACACATATTTGTAGTAAGGTATTTCTTTATTAGATTGCCAAGTATTTTGATGTTTTTGCTCTGTTGTATCGTAGGCGAAAATAAAATCACTGTCCCCGTTGTCACAGTATGAAACCCCAGAATAAATTAACTAGCATCTGAATACGATTTTTCTTTTGTTATTGTTCCTTGTCGTCTTAATATGTAAACCCCAGAAAAAAATAAGCCAATCAATGAGCATGCTATTTTGATCCTGACAGACAGTGTGGTAACTGGAGTGTATCTAATACATGCACTCAAGTTAGGGCGGTATACTATTTAACTTGGGGCACATTTTCAATAGAAAGGTCTCTAAACTATGATACAAGTTGACAAGTCAGAACTCAATGCGAGTTCATGTTTATAAATGACGATTGGTTAAAAACAACATTTTACTATCCATTTTACTTTAGTTTTGAAACCGTTTAACATGATTCATTTTAAAAAGTTGCCAGGTACTGAGTGGAAAGTACTGGTACAAATTTTTGATCACAGGTAGTTATGATCACAGATTATTTAAAACTATTGTGTGATATACAGCTTTTATTTCATGCTTTCCAGTGTTTTATTGTAATATATCAGATGATTATATTCTGATAAACCACTAGTGAAATTTATAAAATATAATTTTCACTGTAGCCGGACTATATCTGAATGCGGATGAAAAGAAAATCAAACTAAATGGAATAACAGGCAGAAAAAATGCCGTCATACGTAAATTTTGATTCTTTAGGAAAAGAAAGTCGATGTCACCATAAATCATGTTGAAAATGTAACAAAGTTAGAGAACTTTAACAGAACTATATTTCAAAATCGATCATGTGACGTCATGATGTGATGACATCACAAAGGAGAATGCGCGACGTTATGCGGCAAAATCAATAAAAAATACTTAAAATGACTTAAAAAGCATGAAATAAAAAGAAAATTTATTTGTTTTACATATAAGATTGAAATATATTTCATTCGTGAACACCAGCTATTATATTTTCACTCGTGGCTACGCCACTCGTGAAAATATTGCATCTGGTGTTCACTCAGTGAAATTATATTTCAATCTTACATGCAAAACAAATAAATATCCTCTATGTATATTTTATGAAACTGATTATTATTACACAAAAACATACATACTGTTTGAAAGGTCTTTATTTAAAGACATATTCACAACGGCAGCATGGTCCAGTGGTTAACATGTTGGACTAATAATCTACAGATTGCTAGTCGCATAGGTTCAAACCCTGTTAGTGGCAAGTCGTCGTTTCCTTGAGCAAGAAACTTTACACTCATTGCTCAGTAGTTGTTGATTACAGGAATGGATTAGAGAGCATGTCTTTCTATACAATCAAACTAAAATGATTTCTGTTTTAACCAAAGACATAGTCATGTTTTTGTTTTTAGCTCACCTGAGCTTGCTCAGGGTTAGCTTTTAGGATCGGTGAATGTCCATCGTCCGTCGTCCGTCCGGCCGTCCACAATTACTTGTGAACACTCTAGCGGTCGCATTTTTGCCTCAATCATCATCAAACTTGGTCAGGATGCTTATCTAGTTGAAAGCTCGGATGAGTTCGAACATGGGTCATCTCGGATGAAAAACTAGGTCACAAGAGCTAAAAATAGAAAAACCTTGTGAACACTCTAGAGGTCACATTTTTGACCCAATCATCATCAAACTTGGTCAGGATGTTTGTCTAGGTGATAGCTTGGATGAGTTCGAACATGGGTCATCTCGGATGAAAAAGTAGGTCACAGGAGCTATAAATAGAAAAACCTTGTGAACACTCTAGTGGTCACATTTTTGAACCAATCATCATCAAACTTGGTCAGAATGCTTGTCTAGTCAATTGCTTGGATGAGTTCGAACATGGGTCATCTCTGATGAAAAACTAGGGTCACAGGAGCTAAAAATAGAAAAACCTTGTGAACACTCTAGTGGTCACATTTTTTGACCAATCATCATCAAACTTTGTCAGGATGCTTGTTTAGATAATAGCTCGGATGAGTTCGAATATGGGTCATCTCGGATGAAAAAACTAGGTCACCGGAGCTATAAATAGAAAAAAACCTTGTGAACACTCTAGTGGTCACATTTTTGCATTCAATCATCATCAAACTTGGTCAGGATGCTTATCTAGTTGATAGCTTGGATGAGTTCGAACATGGGTCATCTCGGATGAAAAAGTAGGTCACCAGAGCTAAAAAATAGAAAAAACCTTGTTAACACTTTAGCGGTCACATTTTTGCATCAATCATCATCAAACTTGATCAAGATGCTTGTCTAGGTGATAGCTCGGATGAGTTCGAACATGGTCATCTCGGATGAGAAAAAACTAGGTCACAGGAGCTAAAAATAGAAAAACCTTGTTAACACTCTAGTGGTCACAATTTTGACTCAATTGTCATCAAACTTGGTCAGGAAACTTGTCTAGGTCATTGCTGGAATAAATCGAACATGGACATTTCGGAGATGAAAAAACTAGGTCACAGGAGCTAAAAAATAGAAAAAATCTTGTTAACACTCTAGTGGCTACTGTTGTGATCCAAATATTCTGTTTAATTGGTCTGAAAGTTTGTTTTTGATGATTTCTAAGTCAAGATCGAACATGGGTCATCTTGGATGAAAACTAGGTCACACTTGCCCAAATATGGAAAAAAACCTTGTTAACATTCTAGTGGTCACATTTTCGACTCAATTATCATCAAACTTGGTCAGGATGTTTTGTCTAGGTAATTGCTTGGATGAGTTCGAAATCGCATGTGAAACTAGGTCACCGGAGCTAAAAATAGAAAAATCTTGTTAACACTCTAGTTGCTACTGTTTTGATCCAAGTATCCTGGAAATTTGGTCTGAAAGTTTGTTTGATGATTTCTAGGTCAAGTTTGAATATGTGTCACCTGGGTAAAAAACTAGGTCGCACTGCTCAAATATGGATAATCCTTTGTTAACACTGTTAGTGGTCACAATTTTTGACTCACCGCTGTCATGAGACTTGGTCAGAATGCTTGTCTAGTAATTGTTTGGATGAGTTTGATAATTCAGGTGAGGGCCGATCTAGGGCCATCATGGCCCTCTTTGTTTTTTAAACTTACAGGCGGTCCATTAGACACAAAAAGTGTTGGAGCATCCTCTGCACTGTCGGCTGTTGAATTTTCCCAGAAAATATCATGTGGAAGTGTTAATAAGGGAGACAACTCTGCCAAAACTGGTTTAAAGTTTTGGAGAAGGGGATGGGGGTTGTCATCAAAAATGTAACACCTGGGTTTGTTTGGGAATTTTGGGTTTTTTTCTGTATTTAATTTGTGTGGTTTAAGGGGTGTATGCCATTAATAATTGGGGCTGGGGGTCACGAAAAAACCATTCAAATGGGGGTTTTTGGGGCCCGCAGGATCCCGACCAGGGCCCTTTCCCCATCCGCTCAGGGCCCGATCGGGGGTCCATGCAGTTTGCTTACAAACCCTATAACAAGTAGAGAAACTGATCGCGAACAGCATGGATCCTGATCAGACTGCGCGGATGCGCAGGCTGGTCTGGATCCACGCTGGTTGCAAACCCATTATGTTGGTTTTGTCATGACGCGGCTCATATGTTATAGTCAAGTCTACAATTGGTACTGCAAGCTTACATAAAAAACACATTACATGTGAATATATACCATGGGATATTTTTTTCCACATCTTAGTAATTTTCATGTTTCAACAATAAGATTTGAACCTGTTAAAATATGATATATAAAACTTACATTGTTATTAATGCTTTCAAGCATCAAATCATAGTTATCATAGTCAATAGTGGGTAGTTGTGGATAGTTATACCCCCTCACAACAAAGTTGTAAGGGGGGTATACTGGAATCAGGTTGTCCGTCCGGCCGTCCGGCTGTCCGGCCATCCGTCGGTTTATTCTTGTCCGCCCAATAACTTAAGATTCCTTTGACCCACAGTCTTCATATTTGGCATGGAGGTTAGTCATGATTAGTCAATGATCCGTATTGATTTTGAGGTCACTGGGTCAAAGGTCAAGGTCACAGGGGCCTTGACTTCAAAAAGCTTGTCCGCCCAATAACTTAAGATTCCTTTGACCCACAGTCTTCATATTTGGCATGGAGGTTAGTCGTGATAAGTAGATGACCCCTATCGATTTTGAGGTCACCGGGTCAAAGGTCAAGGTCACAGGGGCCTTGACTTCAAAAAGCTTGTCCGCCCAATAACTTAAGATTCCTATGACCCACAGTCTTCATATTTGGCATGGAGGTTAGTCATGATTAGTAGATGACCCCTATGGATTTTGAGGTCACCAGGCCAAAGGTCAAGGCCATAGGGGCCTTGACTTCAAAAAGCTTGTCCGCCCAATAACTTAAGATTCCTTTGACCCACAGTCTTCATATTTGGCATGGAGGTTAGTCATGATTAGTAGATGACCCCTATGGATTTTGAGGTCACCAGGCCAAAGGTCAAGGCCATAGGGGCCTTGACTTCAAAAAGCTTGTCCGCCCAATAACTTAAGATTCCTTTGACCCACAGTCTTCATATTTGGCATGGAGGTTAGTCATGATTAGTCAATGATCCGTATTGATTTTGAGGTCACTGGGTCAAAGGTCAAGGTCACAGGGACCTTGTCAAAATAAAGCTTTTCCCCTCAATTGCTTCAGAATGCCTGTCCAGAGTGTATTGATTTTGACATTTTCACATTTGAAGCATGTAGAATACATAACTTAGCAATGCACTGGCTTAGTAACCTCAGATTTGGCAGGGAGGTTGTCCTTGAGTTCTAAATGGCCACTGTTGATTCTGACAAAGTGGTATGCGGGGGTATTCACGCCATGATAGTGGCAGTTCTAGTTTTAATTAAAACAATTAAGCTTTTTTGATTGGGAAAATATAACAGTTTTGCTTTAGACAATCCAACTTATAGTTGTATGATATGAAACTGAGATGTGAAATAGAGTGACTTTTATACTGCTCACTACACAATCAGATTAATCTATATTCATATTTATTTTTTATTTCAATATTTCAGCCTAAATAGAGATGAAGTAAAGTCAAATTTGTGTTATGGATGTCGACTTATAGTCAGAGACATGGTAAGTAAAGTTGTTTCCTGTTAATTTTCTTGTTTTTTTTAACAGTTAACCATGCTGGTAATGATAACAGGTACCCTTTTTGTGCATTATGGTACCTCAAACAAGAAAACCCCATAGCTGCAGCTCTGTGCATTCTTACTGGTAGGTGAGGGCAGATCATAAATCCATAAATGTTTCTGCTACAAAATCTTATTATGAATGTAATTTAAGCTTTTTATGACCAGACTTTAATAGTCATCTTGTATTTCCATCTTTTTACCTTTGTTACTTCAGTGACAGTGGTTCATGTTCTTTTAAGTTCTTAATTTCTTTGGTATAAATTACTGTATGTTTCTGGTTTTAGGAAGATGTGAATAAATTACCCGAGTATGTCCTGAAGGATGTAGCATGGAGAAATAGACGGTTAGTTTCAGTCAACTTTATTTTTATTTTTCTTGGTTGATAACAATTGAGAGTTCATATTAAAATATTTGTACATGCTTATGTATGACCATCTTTTGAAAAATGAACAAGATATTTGTTCTGCTTCTTGAAGAAAGCATGTTCTTTCAGTTTAAAAAAAAGAAGAGATAATATACAAATTGTATGTGTGAAAATATAGATTAATTAGTATATAACTCTGATTCTTAGTCATTAAAAGAGTAGAATTTGATAGTTGCTTTATGTTTAAATGATGCACATAAGGATTTTGATGTGCCAGAAGTACCTAGTTTTGTTTTTATGCCCCTACTACCCCCAGTACTTAAGGATGGGGTGTATAGATTTGCCTTTGTCCATCCATCATGCTATCTGTGTGTAGACTGACAAAACTGTTAAATGCTATGGCCAGTTGTGTCCCTATGGACACATTTCTAGTAGTTGGTAGTTGCAGGTATTTTTTGCCTGTTTCAGACCAAATAAAATATCTGAGATTAGAGTTGAGAAAATTTAACTTCAGACATATTTTGTGCTGTATCATAAAATTTTAGATAAAATGAAAATATGGGATTGACCAGTCTTTTATTTTTCAGATCAAATATGAAGAAAGAAATAGAGGGGTTCCTTCTAGAAGATGTATGACAGGAAATACAGTGGAGATGATGATTAATATAAAATGACAATGTATTAGAATTTGTGAAAAATAAAATATTAAATCTGTTGATTAGAAACTTGTTGGATTACTACCAGACAAGTTGTTAATTCCAAATTATTGCTCCAAGGCTTACAAATCAGATTGTAGAAAGTCCGAACAGATAGTGTTTCATTTATTGCAAGCTTATACTATACAACTTGTATCATTGTTTTGCGAGGATATGGAGTAGATGTTTTATCTGCAATACTGTTTAGGTCAAGATGTGGCACAATTTTTATCAAGACATTCATAGCATTTATTTGTTCTCCAATTATTTTAATGACACCAATAGAATTGACAAGGGGGCTTCTGTGGCCAAGTGGTTATCGACTTTAAACCATTTGCCTCCAAAAGGGACTTTTAATTCTTTCATGTAAGGAACGTCAGTAGTTCAGGTGGCTGTTTGTGCCTAAAATAATTAAAGGAAAGGCACCAAAGGTCTTCCTGTATCTGTGAACCTTGATTGAAATTTGCTATATGACTTTGTAGTGTGATGTAAAAGTAACTTTCTAAAAAGAATTAATGCAATTGGACTGTTATAACTAGATATTCATTAATGTAAAGCTAATTTTGCAGTTTCACATAATTATGCACTAATAAAAACGAGGTTGCTCAAGGTCAGGAGGCTAAAAATAGCTTTTGTATAGCACTGTATATCAAACAGACGTACTGCCTTGACAGCTGTCCTATTATTACCTATCATGATAACCAATACTACCTTTTGTTGGGGTTTGGAATTGTTACAGTTACCGGGGCTTGAAATATTTTTGGCAATGTGTTCGAGACAGCGTAAGTGTCCTTGATAATCATGATATGAGTAATGATTGGTCACTCTATGAATAACATTTTAATAATTACCATCCAATATAGTTGTGTGAATTAAAGACAAAGGGAACTTTTTTTTTTAATTTTTGAATTTATTCTTTTATTAATTTTTAGAGACATAAAAATATTCAAATAAAGTACCAGTACAACAAAACTAGAAATACAGATAACTGATAAGATAATTCCGTCATATTTCATACAAAGAAAAGTAAGCTTTCACAACATTTAGACACAAGTTTACTTACAATAACTCATTCCATGTAAAACAGTTACAACAATTTACTCTATGTAAAAGAAAAACAATATGGCAAGCAATTTAAGTTTGGATGTATTAACAAGAATTGTTTTTTTGACAGACATTCATAGAGCAGAAACACGCCTATGTAAATTGATCTCCAGAACAACTGATATTTCTTATAATAAGGTTGTAGATCTATATTCAAATTATAATTGTATCCTGCCTTTCATTCATTTTAAAGATTGGGATAGTAATGCTACTCAGATTTCAAGTGTAACTTGTGCTTTTAAAACCACATTATGTAAATGATGAAACTCAAAATAAAAAGCATCCATACCGTATACAGTAAAAAAAGACCTGCAAATTAATCTATGCACATTTACCCTGAGGTCCTACAGTCAATTGTAAGTTATAAGAGATAATGTCATGAAAATAATACAAGGCTTGAACATTCAGTACCAATGTTCAAAAACAGATTTCCAGAGAAAATGAAGAAAAAAAAATTAATATGACTGTCAAATTCTGTACGGCCGATTTAATTTATTATAACTATACAGTTATTCTTTTTCACACCAACAGGATGTATGGTGATATTTTCCATCACTTGTGCAAAAACGAGAAAATCCAGTCGGATATTTAAGAAACAGTAAAATAATGTGGTTACTTTACAACTTCATTTACTAACAAAATTGCATATACCAGTCGAATGAAATGGATCCAAGCTCAAGTTCCCTACATTTAATTCTTTATGACAGGAGTACAACCACATTATATGGAAGAGGATCTAACCCAAGGGGTTCTCTCCATGAGACCGTAATGGTATGAACAGGTATAAAACCAGCTACTGTAAAGCTGCATGCCCCCAGACCAGCCAAAATATTTCGAGAAAATCAAGCTTAAGCAAATTGTAGTATAAACTTTATATTAATAAAAGTAAACTTAAATACTAGTAAAGTAATAATTTACATGTAACAATATACTAGTAAAGTAATAATTTACATGTAACAATATACTAGTAAAGTAATAATTTACATGTAACAATATACTAGTAAAGTAATAATTTACATGTAACAATATACTAGTAAAGTAATAATTATCCCCCGCCGATGAAATCGGGAGGGGGATATAGTTTTGGCGTTGTCCGTCCGTCCTTCCGTCCGAATTTCGTTTCCGGAGTAGTTCTCTGCAACTAATGGCTGGAATTCAACGAAACTTTATGGGAATGTTGATCAGCATGTGAAGTTGTGCACCTGGGTATTTTCGTCTGGATATTTTTAGTATTTTTAGAGTTATTGCCCTTGACTCAGTAAAATTTTGTCCGAATTTCGTTTCCGGAGTAGTTCTCTGCAACTAATGGCTGGAATTCAACGAAACTTTATGGGAATGTTGATCAGCATGTGAAGTTGTGCACCTGGGTATTTTCGTCTGGATATTTTTAGAGTTATTGCCCTTGACTTAGTAAAATTTTGTAATTTTCAACTTGTGTCGCATGTAACTCAAAAAGTATTTGACCTAGAGTCATGAAACTTTACAGGAATGTTGATCAGTATGTGTAGTTGTGCACCTGGGTATTTTCATCTGGATATTTTTAGTATTTTTAGAGTTATTGCCCTGGACTTAGTAAAATTTTGTAATTTTCAACTTGTGTCGCATGTTACTCAAAAAGTATTTGACCTAGAGTCATGAAACTTTACAGGAATGTTGATCAGTATGTGTAGTTGTGCACCTGGGTATTTTCGTCTGGATATTTTTAGTATTTTTAGAGTTATTGCCCTTGACTCAGTAAAATTTTGTCTGAATTTCGTTTCCGGAGTAGTTTTCTGCAACTAATGGCTGGAATTCAACGAAACTTTATGGGAATGTTGATCAGCATGTGCAGTTGTGCACCTGGGTATTTTCGTCTGGATATTTTTAGTATTTTTAGAGTTATTGCCCTTGACTTAGTAAAATTTTGTAATTTTCAACTTGTGTCGCATGTTACTCAAAAAGTATTTTACCTAGAGTCATGAAACTTTACAGGAATGTTGATCAGTATGTGTAGTTGTGCACCTGGGTATTTTCGTCTGGATATTTTTAGTATTTTTAGAGTTATTGCCCTTGACTTAGTAAAATTTTGTAATTTTCAATCACAATCATCAGTCACACGGGGCCAGAAAAGGAGTTTCAAAAATGCAAAATTAAAAAATCTTGTCTGACAGTACAAGGCCTAGAGCTTTGATATTTGGTATATGATATAACATATAGGTCCTCTGCCAAAATTGTTCAAATTTTAGCCCTGGGGTCAAAATTGGCCCCACTCCAGGGGGTCATAGATTTTCCTTATATGTATATAGTGAAAACTTAAAAACTCTTCTTGTTTGAAGGTACAAGGCTTCAAGTTCAAAGAATTTTACAGTTTATGCCATGATTAATATATAAATAAAGCCTTATGTCTTCAGTCTAACTTGTTGTGTTAATAATAACCAGTACTCGGCGGGGGATATAAATTCAACGAATTTGCTTGTTTACATGTAACAATATACTAGGAAAGTAATAATTTACATGTAACAATATACTAGTAAAGTAATAATTTACATGTAACAATATACTTGTAAAGTAATAATTTACATGTAACAATATACTAGTAAAGTAATAATTTACATGTAACAATCAATGAATGTATTTATCACCATATTTCTATTGATGAGTTATGCAGTAAGGGCTTCTTTTTTATTTTTTTTACATAATTAACATTATTAATTGGGTAATTTACGTGGATTGATGTGTAAATTACTTTTTTGTTCACTTGAAAGTATTTTACATTTTATAAATTTTTTATGAAAATTAGCATGAATCTGGCGGCATGCTTCTTTAACTGGCAGACAGCTTTCATAAGCATAATTTTGGTTCATGGATATTTTGGTTCACATCTTTGATAAAATAATCATACATGCAGTTATTTTCAGATACAATTTTTACCATCACATGTTTATATAGAAGAATAATTATTCATTAACAATAAACAATTTTATAAATAGTTATTATTATTTATAGAAAATATTTTGCCTATTTGTTTTGAATGTTTTAAATTCGTTTATTACCCTTATAAGATGGGCTTTACAAGTACAATATTCCTTAAAGGCACATTATGCTTCAGAAAGGAATAACTTTTTACTTCTACATAAAAGGTAAACATTAAGTTTAATATCATTTAAATAATGGTTTTTAGAGCATGTTAGATGTTTATTGACAGAAGAAAATGGGACTGAAGCTGAAATTAATTGTCATAAAAGTTGCAAAATGTAAACAAAGTAGTATTTTGACTTCCATACAAAATACTAAATCACTATAACTGTACTTATTGCAAAAACTAACAGAAGCAAAAGAAAGTTTAATGGCCAAAGAGTATTTTTTTGAAAGGTATTACAGGATACTAAAAACCCAAAACATTTAGGAAACTATAATAAAAAGCACTTCTGAGGCATAATGGGCCTTTAAATTACCCAAGTGTATGCAAATCTACCAAAATCTTGCCGTGATTGTATCCCTTGTCTCATCATTTGCCAACCTAGTCTGGAAGAGCTTTTGAACATTATATGTAAATATTCTATGAATTCAATGAATACATTGTATATGACATTAATAGATAGGATAAAAATAAGATAAATACAAAAATTATTTTTGTCTATGGCAATTGTAAACTCTTTTATCCTACAGGCTATACCTGTACTACATGTCTCTTTTCCTAACAGTTTGGATTTCATATACATGTATATCTCGTCTTTAGAACAATAAAAATATCTAAAATATAGAAATTACATAAATCTAACAGACTGTTTATTTGCAATGTGAACTTCTTGAAGAAAAGTAAATATCTTAAAAAGAAATGTAAACATGCAAACTGACAAATACACATTGTACATACAATATTATACATTGGTATAAAAACATCAATAAATTAAATTCATCAGAAATATAGGTCACAAAGTCAACTGACATAATTTCATACAACAAGATAAAATACTTAACAATAACAAAATCAATGATTGTTTTGAAATGGAAAACTGATTTTAAGATTTTAGATTCATAGTCAGAAAACCAGTCTTTAACAAGAGCCATGTCAACATGGCCATCCCCCGCCAAATGTGTTTGCTCATTGGAAGAATGTATATGTAGTAGAGCAGAATAATTCCATTTTAAGAGGTCTTTTGGTAATGAAAACTGATGGCTATAGTGATTACAGATTTGAAACCTATGTGAATACTGATGGCTGAAAATAACAAAGAGCAATTACTGAAAAATAATGCAGGGTAGGTTATCATTCTTGTGTGCTGCATCCCTCCTCAGTAAAATCTATCCACCTATGAAGTTTCAAGTTGATACCTCAAATACTTTTTGAGAAAAAAAATTGAATTGAAAAATTAAGTATAAAAAGAACAAAGGGCAATAACTCAAAAATTATAAAAGGTAGAGTTATCATTCCTTTGCAGTGCACACCTCCTGAGTGACATCTATGCACCTATGAAGTTTCATTTTGAAATCTCAAAGGCTTTTTGAGTTATGCTCTGGACAAAAATTAATTTTGAAAAATAACAAAGGGCAATAACTCAAAAATAATGCAGGGTAGAGTTATCATTCTTAAGCACTGCACTCCTCCTCAATGAGATCCATCCACATTTGAAGTTTCAAGTTGATACCTCAAATACTTTTTGAGATAAGCTCTGGACAAAATAGCATGAAAACTAGAAATGTGTCCATAGGACACTGATGCCCCCACACACCACTGTTCTGTCAATCTTATGACTCTAGGTCAAATATTTTTTGGACTACATGTGCCACAAGTTGAAAACTAAAAATCAACAAAGGGCCATAATTCTGTTAAATTTGGTCGCAGCAAAAAATCCTTCCTTTACTACTATCTACACATTAAGGTTGTTAATCCCTGGAAGTTTAAGCAAAATCTGCCATCCGGTTTGCATTCACAAAATTTCTACATAGTATAAAGTGAAAAAATCAACAAAGGGCCATAATTCTGTAAAATTTGGTTGCAGTAAAAATTCCTTCCTTTTCTACCATCTAAACCTTAAGGTTGTTCATCCCTGGAAGTTTAAGCAAAATCTGCCATCCGGTTTAAAAGGAGTTGCGTTCACAAAATTTCTACATAGTATAGAGTGAAAAAATCAACAAAGGGCCATAATTCTGTTAAATTTGGTCGCAGCAAAAATTCCTTCCTTTACTACCATCTACACCTTAAGGTTGTTCATCCCTGTAAGTTTAAGCAAAATCTGCCATCCGGTTTAAGAGGAGTTTCGTTCACAAAATTTCTAAATAGTATATAGTGAAAAAATCAACAAAGGGCCATAATTCTGTTAAATTTGGTTGCAGCAAAAATTCCTTCCTTTACTACCATCTACACCTTAAGGTTGTTCATCCCTGTAAGTTTAAGCAAAATCTGCCTTCTGGTTTTAGAGAAGTTGCGTTCACAAAATTTCTACATAGTATATAGTGAAAAAATCAACAAAGGGCCATAATTCTGTTAAATTTGGTCGCAGCGAAAATTCCTTCCTTTACTACCATTTACACATAAAGGTTGTTCATCCCTGTAAGTTTAAGCAAAATCTGCCATCCGGTTTAAGAGGAGTTGGGTTCACAAGATTTCGGGACGTAAGGACGGACTGACGGACGGACAAGTGCAACGCTATATGCTCCCACATTGTGGGGGCATAAAAAAGGGCAATAACTCAAAAATTGTATAGGGAAGAGTTATCATTCTTGCGCGCAACATTCCTCCTCAATAAGATCTATCCACCTATGACATTTCATGTTGATATCTCATACACTTTTTGAGTTATGCTCCACTCAGGTGAAAAATTAGGTATGAAAAATAACAAAGGGCAACAACTCAAAAATTATGAAAGGTAGAGTTATCATTCTTAGGCACTGCACACCTCCTGAGTGAGATCTATGCACCTATGAAGTTTCATGTTAATATCTCATAGGCTTTTGGAGTTATGCTCTGGACAAAAATCAATTTTGAAAAATAACAAAGGGCAATAACTCAAAAATCATGCAAGGTAGAGTTATCATTCTTGTGCACTGCACTCCTCCTCAATGAGGTCTATCCACCTATGAAGTTTCAAGTTGATAACTCAAATACTTTTAGAGATATGCTCCGGACAAAAATGTCGGACGGAAGGACAAACGGACGGAAGGTCGGACGGAGACTATTTCTATATCTATATATTAATTTTTCGGCGGGGGGATAAAAAATACAGCTTTTCTATTGGTTAATTTCAAATACAGCCTTTCCATTGGTTAATTTCAAATACAACTTTTCTTTTGGTTAATTTCAAATAACAATGTCCAGTCTACAATGATACAGCACTTTTGATTGGTTAATTTCAAACAAATAAAAGTTAATAATCAGATGCAAAAGTTTTTGACTGTTCTCTTAAAACTATAAATTTATAAACTTAAAACCTAGAAAATGGTGTACAAGAGACCCAAGAGGGTCAATATCGCTCCCTTGTGTAAAATGGTAAGTTTAAAAAGTCTACAGAGTCAGACTCAATTTTAACCCCCACTCTCCCACTAAATTTATTAATTTTCAAAAGAGACCCACTAGGACATGCTACAAACCAAATATCTTCTCGAGGGCTTGAAAGTATCAAATTAGAATATTTTGAAACATTTTCCTACAAAGTCCATGTTACAAGTGATCCCAGGGGCAGGACATTTTTTATGTAAGAGGTACAATTTAGAATCATTAGAATATGCCCTTTAGTATCTTAACTTACAAGGTTTTGTAGTTTCAGAATTTTTTAAAAGTTTATTCTTGTTTGAAAAGGACCACCTGAAGACAGTTTGTTAAAAATGTTACCAGTGGTTTTGGAGGCAAGATTATTAAAAGTAACTGTTGACAACAATGGACTATGATTGAGAGGCATTGAGCTATCACAAAAATTCACCTTGTAGCACTTTGTGCTCAGGTGAGCTAAAAATGAGAGAACACTCCTGGAGATTAAAGGCACACTGAGACATTCATTCTGCTTTTTCATGACCAGCTACTGGTAAATCTTTATCTTCTTTGTCTTCAACTGGCTTTACATTTTGTTGTTCTGAAAAAAAAGAAGAAGAAATACATCAACAAGTTCAAGGATTATTAAAGTAACTACATATTTTCAAAAAACAAGGTTCTGAAATAATATATTTTCTGTCTTTAGATGTTTAAAATCAACAGTTTACAGGTATGCTTTATAATAATCCAGAATTTATACCTTGAACAAGAGCTCTGTATTCTTCATCAGAATCTTCATCATCACTGTGGACTTCGTCATCAACAGTGTCCATACAACATAGACTATAACACACGACTGATATTACTGCTGTAGGTATACCAAACATGATCAGGAATAACCAACGAGAAGACTGCCATACTTCCTGAAATACAAACAAAACAATGTAAAGATTGTTATACTTTCTGAAATAAAACCAAACAAAAGAATGTGAAGCCTGCTATACTTCCTGAAATAAAATCAAACAAAACAATGTAAAGATTGTCAAACTTTCTGTACCCAAACCAAACAAAGTTATGCTTGTCATACTTCCTGAAATAAAACCAAACAAAACAATGTGAAGATTGTTATACTTTCTGAAATAAAACCAAACAAAACAATGTGAAGTCTGCTATACTTCCTGAAATACAAAGTAAAGATAGTCCTACTTCCTGTACCCAAACCAAACAAAGTTATGCTTGTCATACTTCCTGAAATAAAACCAAACAAAACAATGTGAAGATTGTTATACTTTCTGAAATAAAACCAAACAAAACAATGTGAAGCCTGCTATACTTCCTGAAATACAAAGTAAAGATAGTTCTACTTCCTGTACCCAAACCAAACAAAGTTATGCTTGTCATACTTCCTGAAATAAAACCAAACAAAACAATGTGAAGATTGTTATACTTTCTGAAATAAAACCAAACAAAACAATGTGAAGCCTGCTATACTTCCTGAAATACAAAGTAAAGATAGTCATACTTTCTGTACCCAAACCAAACAAACTTATGCTTGTCATACTTCCTGAAATAAAACCAAACAAATCAATGAGAAAATTGCCATACTTCCTGTAACAAAACAAACTAAACAATGTGAAGTCTGTCATACTTCCTGAAATAAAACCAAACAAATCAATGAGAAAATTGCCATACTTCCTGTAACAAAACAAACTAAATAATGTGAAGACTGCCATACTTCCTGAAATACAAATGTACAAACAAACAAAACAATGCGAAGTCTGCCATACTTCCTGTAACAAAACCAAACAACTGTCATTCTTTCTGTAATTAAACCAAACAGAACAAAGTTAAGGCAGTCACATTTTCTGTAGTAAGACCAAACAAACACCAAGTATCATTGGACCAACAGATTGAAAGGTATGGATCTGGCCAGGACGGACTTCTCCACTTTGATATCTCCCTTTCAATTTTATTTAAGGAAGATCACACCATACAGTCATGAAGACTGCAAAACATCCTGTTATAAAACATTAACAAAAATATTCTTGACAGTTTCATAGCATATGGTAACAATTAACTGGTGAGAAATATATTATTTGCAATGAATTTTACACCTGTGGGATACAATATTATGCTAAAATGATCAACATTTTACTCACATTGGTGATAATTTCGGTAAAATCATCAACTTTGTATGATATTGTCTCAATGAATTATTTTTAGATAGGAAAAAAAGTCAATGAAAACCGTTAAACTAACACTAGCGCCATCTGGTGCAAGAATATTTCAATAGCTTCAAAAAACATTCATTTGCCTAGACGCACTTTAAGCATTAATCAGCCGGGAATCTTCTTCAGTTTAATGTTAAATAGATAATAAAGACAAATTAGAAAACATATTAACGTAAATATAGATTACAGATCTCGCGATTCAAAACTCAAGAATTTTAAATGACAAAAAGTAATTGCATTTAAAATAGCAAGCCCTGGACTAGACAAGTATCTTTTCTATCTTATTTTAAAACAGCTAAGCTTTGTCTATGATTAAATCAAATTGATAAACAAAAAGCATTGAATGTGTCGTTTTTTGTCTTATTTTTACCTTTTTAAGTGTCTGCCATTTTCTTTGAATTTTCAGATGACTAAATTTTGTCTTCTTGGTGCTAGATTATTAAACATGTTTGTTTGTTTGTTTGTTTCATTTTACACCTTTTCCCAACAGTATTTCAGTCATATAGGCGGGTTACAAGTTTCCTAACCATCGTTCCTGGAGAGTTACACCATTACTAGACTACCTTCCTCCAAGCTAAACTACCAAAGCATCTCCCGTGGATCGAACCCACGCCAAAGAGGTAACTGGATTAGAAGTCATCGATTTATCATTAATTAACATCAAGTATCAAACAATAAATTTTTTTTGAAAATTTTACTTCTTTGCAAAAAGTAGCCAAGACATGTTATTATTTTATAGAAAACATTATTGCCAAAATATAAAACAACAATAAACTAGAAATGTGTCCATAGGACACGGGTGCCCCCACCGCGCCACTGTTCTCTCAATCTTTTTACTAAGTCAAGGGAAATAACTCTACAAATACTGGATAAATCCACAAGCGAAACCCCAGGTGCAAATCTAAAATATGCTGAGCAACCTGCCCATAAGGTTTAATGACTATGTCAAATCGTTCTTGAGAAACTTGCGACACAAGTTGAAAATTGCAAAAATTTTCAAAGTGAAGGGCAATAACTCTAAAAATACCTAATAAATCCAGACGAAAATACCTGGTGCACAACTGCACATGCTGATCAATATTCCTGTAAAGTTACATGACTCTAGGTCAAATACTTTTTGAGTTACGTGCGACACATGTTGAAAATTGCCAAATTTTACTAAGTCAAGGGCAATAACTCTGAAAATACTAAAAATATCCAGACGAAAATACCCAGGTGCACAACTACACATGCTGATCAACATTCCTGTAAAGTTTCATGACTGTAGGTCAAATACTTTTTGAGTTATTAGCGACACAAGTTGAAAATTGCAAAATTTTACTAAGTCAAGGGCAATAACTCTGAAAATACAAAAAATATCCAGACGAAAATACCCAGGTGCACAACTACACATGCTGATCAACATTCCTGTAAAGTTTCATGACTGTAGGTCAAATACTTTTTGAGTTACATGCGACACAAGTTAAAAATTGCAAAATTTCACTAAGTCAAGGGCAATAACTCTGAAAATGCTAAAAATATCCAGACGAAAATACCAAAGGTGCACAACTACACATGCTGATCAACATTTCTGTAAAGTTTCATGACTCTAGGTTAAATACTTTTTGAGTTACGTGCGACACAAAAGTGAACGGACGGACGGACGGAAGGACGGACGTTCTCACAGGACAGTAATTATGTGGCTACTCTATTGTTCTCTCTATTGTTCTTTTTAGCCACGCAAAAGAAAATAGCCACATAAAAGCATTACGGAATGAATGACATCAAAGAGAAAGAACAGTTACCTATTGTCCCTCTAGCCACATAATTACTCTCCTGTGAGTGCGGACGGACGGAAGGACAACCGGACAAGGGTAAATCTAAATGCCCGCCACTAACGTGGGGGCACAAAAACTAGAAATGTGTCCATAGGACACGGGTGCCCCCACCGCGCCACTGTTCTCTCAATCTTTTTACTAAGTCAAGGGAAATAACTCTACAAATACTGGATAAATCCAAAAGCGAAACCCCAGGTGCAAATCTAAACAAGAACCGGTTGAACCGGGTGATGCTCCCCGAGAAGGTTCTGGACACAGGAAAGTATAAAAAAAATGAACAAAGGGCAAAAACTCATTATTTAGGCAAAGCAGAGTTATGTTTTTTTGCACTGCACTTCTATTCAATGAGATCTATCTATCTAAAAAGTTTCCTGATGATATCAGAGTTATGTCCAGGGTAAAAGTCAAGGTGTAAAAATGAACAAAGGGCAATAACTCCAAAATTAGACCAGGCTTTGTTTAGGTTCTTTAAGCATTGCAGTTCTATCAAAATATATCTAGCTACCTATAAAGTTTCATGTTGATATCTCTAATAGTTTTAAAGTAATGTCCAGGTCAAAAGTCAAAAAGTAAAAATAAACAAAGGGCAATTACTTCAAAATAAGGCAAGGCAGAGTAATGATTCTTAAGCACTGCACTTTCACCCAATGAGACCTATCTATCTACAAAGATTCATGTTGATATCTCTTATAATTTTAGAGTAATGTCCCAGACAAAGTTCAAAGTTTCAAAATGAACAAAGGGCAATAACTCCAAAAGTAGGCAAGACAGTGTTACAGTTCTTGTGCACTGCAAACTTACTCAATGAGATCTATCTACCGACAAAGTTTCATGTTGATATCTCTTATACATTAAGAGTTATGTCCTGGAACAAGTTCAAAGTGTAAAAATAAACAAAGGGGGATAATTCAAAAATTAGGCAAGGCAGAGTTAAGGTTCTTGTTCACTGCACACCTACTCAATGAGATCTATCTACCTACAAAGTTTCATGTTGATACCTCTTTTACTTTTAGAGTTATGTCCCGGACAATTTTAGTTCAAAGTGTAAAATAAACAAAGGGGGATAATTCAAAAATAAGACAAGGCAGAGTTACGGTTCTTGTGCACTGCACACCTACTCAATGAGATCTATCTACCTACAAAGTTTCATGTTGATACCTTTTATACTTTTAGAGTTATGTCCCGGACAAAGTTCAAAGTGTAAAATAAACAAAGGGGGATAATTCAAAAATCAGGCAAGGCAGAGTTACGGTTCTTGTGCACTGCACACCTACTCAATGAGATCTATCTACCTACAAAGTTTCATGTTGATACCTCTTGTTGTTTCAAAGTTATGTCCCGGACAAGAAAAGGGGACGGACGGACGGACGGACGGACGGAAAGACGGACGGACGAAAGGACGGACGGACGAACAAGGCGGCGACTATATGCTCCCCCGAAATTTTTTCGGGGAGCATAAATATGCTGAGCAACCTGCCCATAAGGTTTAATGACTATGTCAAATCGTTCTTGAGAAACTTGCGACACAAGTTGAAAATTGCAAAAATTTTCAAAGTGAAGGACAATAACTCTAAAAATACCAAATAAATCCAGACGAAAATACCTGGTGCACAACTGCACATGCTGATCAATATTCCTGTAAAGTTACATGACTCTAGGTCAAATACTTTTTGAGTTACGTGCGACACATGTTGAAAATTGCCAAATTTTACTAAGTCAAGGGCAATAACTCTGAAAATACTAAAAATATCCAGACGAAAATACCCAGGTGCACAACTACACATGCTGATCAACATTCCTGTAAAGTTTCATGACTGTAGGTCAAATACTTTTTGAGTTATTAGCGACACAAGTTGAAAATTGCAAAATTTTACT